CAGAGACCCATAAAACAAATGGCCACAGTGCACTACTAGGTAATTTCACTCATTTAAATCATCAACAAGAACAGACAGCTCAAGCAATTTCAATCTCAAGCACCAAACATTTCATTATAAAATGTTAAATATATAAAGTCAAAATTTAAAAAAAAAAATTAATCTAACAACCATTTCCTGATGAGCAGAAAACACATCCAAAACAACACAACAGGCTGACAAACATTTTTGCTGTAATTATGAAACATAACTAAATCTTTGAGATAAAAACTGAGCATAGACCTCAGAGTGGTACTACTTGTGACTTGGCTTAACAAAAATCCAAATGCAAAAAAGTGATTTTTTTTCTCCACAACAGAGCACACATTGATACTCATGCAAAAGTTGAAGACAGGCTTCTGAGAGAAAAGACAGTAGCATGGGATACAGTAATTAGCTGTAAGATGCAAAACCGGTGGTACCAACAAACATCAAGGAGCAAATGTCTGTGTTGGTTCTACGTTCTCTCCTGTATCCCTTTTCTTCCTGTATCCGTGCAATTGTTAAATGTACTGTTATGCTAATAAAGCCTCACTGAATTAGGCAGTGTGACCTACCTGAGTCTATGCACAAGACATACAAAAAAGAGGAAGAGGATGCAAAAAAAAATCTGCAATTCCAACAAGTCACATTTTTAGTAAATCACTGATTCCCACCTGGTGAGGAACACCAGCATTTAAATTCAGTTATGTCACAGCATGGAACACAAGCTAATAATCTCTTCTGGATTTATTAGATTGGAATAAAAATAATGAGTGGCATGAGAGAGAAGAAAATGAGACGCAAAAGAAAAGGTGATTACGGCAAGGCCCATACTGTGCTTTTGTCTTAAAAACCAAACAAATAAAAACCACAGTATGGGAACTATCATAACAGACAATAGAATGAAATAATCAAAATCCAGAATTTTAAAGTTGTTGGAGTTTTTTTAAGCTTTAAAATCAGCGTTGTTTAGTTGTTGAAGGAAAAAGCAGCACTTGGGGGTTTTATATGGGCATAGCAGTTATTAAAAAATAACAAAAAAGCACAGTAGTATTACCTCATTTTCTCACTTTAGGGCAGTTGCCATCAATTGCTTCCAAGTTTTTTTAATACTAAGAACAAAATCTGCTGTATTAGATGTCTACCATAATCTCCTAAGCAAAACAGTCAAGTCAATTTTGAGACTACCTCTATGGAAGTATTTTTGTTTTCCAAGATTTTCTCTTTAGAATTTCTTAACACCCTTGCTTTAAAAAGAAAGGATGCAAAAAATCCATCCAAAAATGACAAATTCATGATGTTCCCAAAGTTGTAATTCTATCTCCCAATAAAGATCTAAGAAAACTTAACAGCTGAAATCTCAGAGGAGTGCACCTTAGCAGCACACCTTTGAGGCTATTCCAATTTTTAGTACTATTCCAACTGCATGCCTGCCATCCTGAGCAACCATCTGAGCAACCAAGGTTTGGTCACACTTGCTCTCTTCACTAATAGTTTAAATAAAATCTGCTTTTTTAAATCTTATTTTTTATCTGCTATAGAGGCACAAGGTTACCTTAACTTACAACCACTGTATGTTCACCAAGAATCTTGGCTGATTTAATTAGAATACTACACAAAAAATATACTAGCACAACATTATTTGAAGACTTTCAAGAGGTGGGTGAACACTGAGAATATATCCACAAGAGCTCAGCACTCTGATGAAACTTCGTAGAACCAAGTAAACCCTAACACCTAAAGTGTAATCACTCATTTATGATAACTGCATGGAAAAGGTAGAATAGGCTCTCTTGACTGAGTCTCTTCAAACACTAGTAAGGATCTGATGAACTGAAAAAGACCCCAGAGGCCAGGAAGACAAAGGCACATTACAGGTGGTCGTTATGAATTAGTGTGAATCAAAGACACTTCCAACAGGAAGACCTGCTTGGTATTTTCAAATCCTGAAAGTTGGGAAAAAGCATCAATGGTGCTGGTGCAATGACAGAAGTAGCACCAATCCTAAACCACAACCAGGACACGAAAAGTACTTAGTATTTTAAAATTCATAATAGATATCTATCTTCTTTCTCCTCCATGCTACAAAGTACTATGCAACTCATTTTCCCCATTGAATGAGTACCTTAAAAGCCAAACGACTGTTCACCTCTTGCCACTACAGCTGCTTTGTAGGAACTTTCTCTCAAAACTGGTAAACTACCAAGGTTAAAAAAAAACAACAAACAAACAAAACAAAAGAACCAAACCACCACAAAACAAAAAAACCCCAAACAAACAAAAAACCCAAAACCAATCCAAAAAAACAAAACAAAATAAAAAGAACAAACACCAAACCAGAAAGGTGGCAGTAACCTGTTGGATGTTACTGGATGTCAAACAAAAAGGAAAAGCGCCAGTCTAACTGCAAATGGAGAAGACAGGAATACAGAAGGGAAAAAAGATTGGGACAGTAAATACAGGTGCCTTGGTTGTAGAGCATCACTTAAGAGACATGTCATGCTACACAGCTTATCTGAGGTATGATGTTTGGTCAAATATCAGTGCCTGTATAACAGTTCAGATGTCGGAAGGGCCGTGTTCAAATTTATGTTTTGACACCATTGATATAAGAAAAATCAAAGACTATGCCTTTACCAATTTCCTACTGGCAGGCACTAGTTACCCTAGTGTAGTTGTAGAGTCACCAAAGCAGCATAAGACTACATTAATTGTCTGTGCAAACACAGACAGCCCTATTGAGGCTGTTAACCAGAAATTCTCACCATTGGAATCTCCCTTTATAGTTCAGAATCAAAAGACTCTATAAATGGTTGTACCACTGAGTGAGATCCTGACAAGTAAATCTGTGACCACTTGAAAACAGGTACTCAGGTAAGATATGCAACTCCAGAGATGGGTGATGGAGGAAGACACAACAAAAACACAAACATGACACATCTCCCCAAAAACAGAGACAAAGGAAGAATAGGAATTTTAAGTACTTAACCTATGGAGGGCTCTCTAATCCATCTACACGCTAAGAGAAAGTGCATCTCCTAGGGTATACATCAGCTTTTTGTAACAATATGAAGAAAAAAATCCTGTGATATTTCTATTCCTGCCTGCTAAATAGGGGCTCTGTCCCATTGCCTACTGAATCCGTTTGTCCTCTGACAGCGTTTAACAAACAGAAGTGACGGTGCACAATTCTTGCTTACTCAATTTTTCCACGTCAATTGTGATTTTAAACACCTTTGTCTTGTCTCTTCTTGGTGTCTCTTTTTCAGTCCAAGAGTCCTACTCTATTTACACATTCCTTATAAAAGTTCTGTTCCTTGCCACTGTTCGCTACCTGAACAGTGAAACTATCTGTTTTGAATAGAAACTGCCTTTTCCTTTTAAACAGCAACTTCATTTACCCCCTTACCACTTTGTCAACACAGGCTGGTGAGGTCTTTCAGCAGTTTGTGACAGCTCATCTTCAGAATAGCTCATTCCATAACCAGCAAACATAGCTTCTCCTCCTCCTTTTCCTAGATCACTTATTAGTATGTTGAGCTGTACAAAAGGCCACAAGGCTGAATTTTCCAAGGCTGTCATGGTAAACCTCTCCACTGTGAAAACTGAGCATCTACTTGTGTGGGTATTTTTAAATCTTTTAATCTATTACCAAACTATGACACTACCTCTCCCCTTATCTCCACACCAAAAAAAAAAAACAAAACCCTCTCCTTACAGAAGCTACATTGTCTTTTCACCAAAGCATCACATTTTTAATTAATTTCTTTAAAATATTTTATAGCATTTTGTGCAACACAGATGTCACGCAATTTTGGGTGGAACTGGCCAACAGATTCTAAAGTTACAAGACTGAAGTTACACTGACTGGCATAAAGCAATTCTTATTTCTTTAGGAAACCAGTCCAAACATATTATGTAAAAATATGAACTGCCACCTATAACCACAGAGTGTTATTTGATATTGAAATGTATTCTATGTTGGCCTGCACATAGTATTTCTGCTATATATACGTACTATACAGACATGCATGTTCCACACACACACACAAGTATGTACATATAAAGCCTGATTTTAATTCTTCAGGTTTATGTCCACTATCTTCAATCACTGTACACTCTATAAATTAAAAATTGATTGCTTATATGCACACACAAAAAAGATATATTTGATACATTAATCGTAAAACAGATTCCCATCAGAAAATGATGAATACAAGAAACACAAAGCATAAAACCCACCATGTCCAGGACAGTATGCCTTCGTACTTGCACTCTAATCATGGTGGCTTTCTACAGCTATAACTTCATACTCTCTTCTTGCCTTGACAAATGAAATCTTACCTAACTTAAATTCATACCAAGTACTACCACAAAGATATATTTTCTGGTTCATTATTTCAACTATGTCACCCTTCCACACTCCCCCAATGCCTCCCTTATCCCTTCACCATCAAACAGGAACTATATGTCTTAAATTGTGTGACCTTTCAAATACAAAACTATAGCACATATGTCAACTTTCATTTGCTATCAAGATGTCAGCCTTGGTCACCTCTGCCAGGGCTAGCCTTCATGATCCATTCATCAAATTTTCCAAATAAACCTCTATTCTTTAACTAATACCAGCATTTTGGCATGAAACGTGCAAAACTGTTTTCCTCTCTTAAATCCTTTCTTACAACATTGTTCTGACAACAGACGTTAGTTAGAGCACTGATGAATTGTAACTGGCATTTATGCTAGCCATAACATAGTCACTATTACTACACACTTCCACAGAGCATTTTTTAAAATCTATGTGCTCTACAAAGATGGGACTATGTAATCATATGGGGAACTTCTAGACACTGGAACATTTTCATAACAAACACAATGTTTATCAACCTATTTTCCAAACAAATTATTGTTTCTTTTAACATCAAAAACAAGTAAGTCAATAATATGGTTTGCTATCTTAAACTCTCGTGATAGTTTACCTGAGTTGCAGCAACAACAGTAGTTACAGAAGGCGCAGTTGAAGGTGATAGAGCTCCCACTTGCTGCAAGTGGCCTGAAGCCTGCTGAGGTAAATGAGAACTGGAAACGGGAGTGCTAGATCCTGAGCCAGATACTGCATTTGGAAATGATACTGCTACATCATTGCTGCTAAAAATACCTGAAAAAAATTACAAAAACAATTACATGCATCTCTCTCTCTCTCCCCCTCCCTCTATTTTCTAGTAACCATGTAAATATGCAGTAGAAAATCAATCAAGACAAACAAGATCACTTAATACATAATGCAGAAAGCTCTGTATTGAAATTCTAACCATGCTGATTGATAAGAATGCTCTCGTCATTTGACATTCTACAGTTCAGGGAACACAGATTGATTCAGTTCTAAGGTTTTGTAAAACATGTGTGATAAATCAAATATTTATGTGCATTACAAACTGCTCAAATATTAACAGTAGCAGGAATTTTGGCTAAAATGCCTGCCTTCAACTGAGTCTGCTGTCAGAGTTTGTTCTTTCAATGAATTACTGTAAAATTAAGTAGATAAAGAACGATATATAAATATGTAACTGAACATACACAATACAAATGGAAAAATACTTTTTAACTTTAAAGTAAAATGTTTCCAAACAACATATATTTATTCAAAACTGTAATTTTGGCAATTAAGTATTGCTTGTGTATTTTCAGAAAAATATTGACAGCAAGTCTGAGGACAAGGTACTCAGATTTGCTGGTAGAACTGGTGGCATTTCGTTTATTCACAAACTAAAACTCCATCCGTGATCTACAAATGCTTGACTAACATTTCTGCTAGAACAGCCAACAAGTAAATGACTAAACATGTTAACACTAGTCAGATTTGTACATTAGCAATTTAAATAGGAAGAGTTCATACCCCTCTGTGAAGCCATTACTTCTGTTGATCTACATGCAGGGTAAAGTTCATTATATAGGTTGGGGAAAAATCCCTACTGACCAGAAGCCCAGGACAAGAAGTAGTACCTGTCTATGAAACCGTTAGGCTCCACGTGCATTAGATAAGTGAGCTGTCAGCTGGCCAAGGAATATCAAGCATGGTAGCACTGAACTGCAGTTAGAGGAAGAGTGCCACAGGGAGTAAACAGAAGTAGAATGAACATGGTTAGATCAAAAAAAGCAACAGAACTGAAATGCCAGTTAGAAGGCAAAGGGTGGAGCTAGTTTGTCACTCATACAAATAATGATTTGAAGAAGGCAGTGACAATAAGAAGATACGCAATGTTAAAACACCACTCGCCACCCAGCAATCCCTCTGAGCACAGGCAGTGAAGGGAGACTATCATCATCCAAACCCATACATAATATGCAAACACTGATGCATCTTAAATTCCCTGCCTCTATTAACTGTCAAGAAAAGTGGAAGAGAAAACCAGCCAGACCCAGTAGAGAAAGAAGATATGGAAAAACAGCTGAAGACACATTCCAACAACACCTTTTTTTCCTGCCTAACTGATGTTAGTGAATTCTTGTCATCTTCTCCCCAGTCTCTTCATCACAGAACAACTCCATACCTGCTCTGCCTTTCTACTGACCCTCACATCTTTTTCCATTTAGTACACCTTCCTTGGTCACCTTTCCCTCCCTTTCCCTTTTTTTTTGGTCACCATCCCAAAAATCTACAGTTATAGCATTAGCATCAGTTAAGATCTTTTAAGTGTTCACTTTGTTATAACCTTTCTCCAATTACATCTGCCTCATCTACCTATAAATTCTATGGATCCTGTTCTAGATTTGTCTTTATACACTAGCAAAATGAACATGATTAACAAACAGCCTTGCTACTGAGTCTACTCTTAAAAGTGATACAACCACAAAAACTGAAATATAACCCAGGTCCTCTAGCAATTTTTATTTTTTTTTCCATCTGCTTTCAATCAAAGATTCCAAATTAATTAAAAGGATGAGATTTTTAACCCTCTGCATTTTAAATGCATTAAAACAATTAAATATACAAAAATTCTTGAAAAATATTAGATTCTCCGGCAATTATCTGGAACTGTGAATTTTAATAGTAATTAAATATCAGAACAATTATGATTAAATCGTAAGAACTCATCAGCACAAATGCTATCACTCTCATAAAATGTCAATGATAACAAAGGAGAAAACAAATCTTTTTGTGACAGTCGAAAGTAAAGTAGTAAGACAAAAGATATTTTGCCAGAAAGGTAAAACAACTGCAAATTTTTAAAGCTATTGTAGATTTTTTTTCCTTAATTTCTCAAAATCTTACATATTTAATAACTGCAGAGCTTCTGCTGTTTCTATTTTAATTATAAGGTTTATTCTTCCTCCTAGAAATAAAATTCTGGAATACAACAGATAGTTGTAAAATTGAGGGTGCAAAACTATTTCAAAAGAAATACAAGCAGCAAACTAGTTTGCCAATGGAATGAGGTAAGCTATTACTTGCTGTTAGCAGTAGTAGTTCTAGAAACACTTGCTCTTTGTTGCTGTTGCAAATACAGGACAAATATGACCTATCTGCACACTTTGTTTGGGCTAAGTATTTCTATTAAGCAATACCTTACTTAATACATGAAGTACAAGCACCTTCTGGAACTAGTCATACAACCAAGATATTACTCCATACAAGCATTCAAAGAAAGAGCTGTATGCTGAACATACAAATAAATGCTGGACTTTACACCATTAAAAAAATAAATAAAAAGTATACAAACCCCAAACCTGTATAAAACCTACGTGCATATCATAATAGAAAGCCAAGAAAGTACATATTTAAAATGTCTCAAACGTATCAACTTGTCCTTTTGGGGCTGGGGGAGAGATAAATCACTTTCTGGATCAGGAAGGCACAATAATGAAAGCCTGAACAAATCACTATAAACCACATTAATGTTTAAAACAAACAAACTGCCTTCAAGTCCTTCCCATATTACCGAAAAGCCAAATAGCTATAGCTTGTGATGAACAGCACTGTGTAATTTGCCAGAGGCATAAACTGCATGGTTAAATACAATCTTCAGCATTTTAAACAGAACACATTTCTCCAACCACAGGAGGAAATGGACATGTAACACTGCTCAGGTAAAGTCTGACTGTGCTTAACACCATTAACATCTACAGAACATGGTTTCAGGTTTTGACAGATAAAATGCACATATAGTCTGCATTGTATCTCTGGACAACACATAACTGCCTGCTTAGCACAGGAGGGAAGTACTACAGAGCAGGGAACACATCAGATAATGCAGATTAGAAAAAACTGTATTGTTTTTGCTGACAATCAATGACAAAGCAGAAAGTAGAGGAAATTAAAAAAAAAACTTCAGGAAAAGTGCAGTCCAAAATAGCCTCAAGTCAGAACTAGCTGTGCAACCATAAACACCAATTGGCATACAGAACAATTTTAGTGATCTCAAAACTAAGCAGTTCCATGAGCAGAAGAATTAAATTCTGGTCTTCAACAGTGTTGCATCTCACAGATGACATCAATATACTAAGCTTTCCCAGCATGATTTCTGTATCTAGCTATGAAATCCTCAGTTCTTTTTATTCTCTAGTACTGCAGCCCCCTTTGTTACTCAGTTCCCTTACTTTCTCATTCTATGCTGTTGATTGCCTAGTTCAGCAAAAGACAAACCCAGGCAGTGGTTTTACTCTTGTAGCCATACGCTACCCAGCCCTACAACAGAAACATATGTATTTTAGACTCCTTCACCAAGTTTGTTTGAAATTGGACAACAGGCTCAAAGCTTACTGCGGGCCAAAATCAAGAGACGTAACATGTAGACTGCTTTCTTAGAAAACTATGAAAATGTTCTCCCTACCATAAAGCTGTATTTTCTAAGTCAGAAACGTGAAAATTGTGCAACTACTGCAAAAAAGAGGAACTTATCTGAGATATCCACCAGAGGTGGCTAAATCTAGCATTTTGCCAAAACTTAGAGAATAAGCAGAATATGGTGAAAGAGGATGTTTTTTAAACATAAGCTTGCAACCCCAAAAAAGTTGCAGAGAACTGCAGAACCTTCTTACTTGGGGGAGGATACAAGGGATGGGGGTGGGGGAAGAGGGACAACAACTGCGAAGGGACTTGTAGTAGAATTCACAGAAAAAAAGTGAAATTTTGAGTTATAAGAACAAGAACTTCTTTACAAAGCCTGATCCTATATACACATTTTCAGCACCTTTACTTCCTTGGTGATCTCAAAAAGTCTCCCCTAAAACCGTGCCAACTCCCTATACAGAGCAAAATGAAAAAGCACCTTTGGATGAAACAGTCCATTAATTAGTAACTAAACATGGGGGGGGGGGGGCCAAAACAAAAAAAAAAAAAAAAAAAAAAAAAAGCAGCTTAGTTACACAGGAAAGAACATGTTCCATTCCAGCAGAATGTTAATAGTGGAAGTGGAAGAAATATCCCACGATTTGTTATTTTGTAATATGGATGTAGGATAAAGTGAATCTAATGTGAAACACAAGCAAATAAAACCAGGTTATTGTGACACAGCTGCCTAAAAAGAGAATAAAGTTGCGTTTGAAACTGCCAAGCTAGCAATAATATTTCATTTCAATTCATCTGAGACATCAAAACTATAACTTGGATGATAGGGCCAAGCTGTTTCCTTTATGATGAAATCTGAAATCCAAGAATCAAATAATCAAGCTGTTTTCCTGCCGCTGATGAGCAAAGTGGTACAGTTCAATCTCAGATAGGTTTCTGCAAGATTCTGACTTGGGGAAAAATTCACAGTTCTAAAGTGCACAGAAATTATAGTTACTGATCTGCAGCCTGATCACAAGCCAGCATTTTTCTCCCTTTTCTGGGGGTCCTTTTCTGATGGAGGCACAGCAGCCTCTGCCACGGATCAACAGTCAGTGCTCTCCTTTGATGAGGGCATTCTGTGTCCTCTCCAGGAGGCAGAAGGAAAAAAGCTCCAAGACTCCAAGTACCCCAAGAGTACAAACCACTGGGGGTGGAGGGGAGGAGGGAAGATACAAAATACAGGTACACACATTTTCAAAATGGAACTAGTCTAGTTTCATACCTACTGACAGAAGACAGATGGCTGTAATTATTCCCTTTGAAAATATTCTATAGACCAGATTTATAGTCAAAGACCAAAATGCACGACAAAGAACCTTCATACAACT